GATCATTTAAGTTCTCACGCGTTAAACCGGTTGCTGGGATATGGCAAGATGGTGAGATAAAAATGAGGATGAAATACGTTTCTTACAGACCAAAGATTGTGCGCTATTGTGGTTCATAGTTGAGAGTTATTTTGCGGAACGAAATATCTAAACAGATCATTTAGATCAGAGAATAATTAGGTGTGGCAAACACCCATTTTAAGCATCGTTTGCCTAGATTCAAGATTTCGCCAAAGACAAGCAATGAAAAAACTTTTTGAACGAGAATAGAAACCATTAGGACAAAGAAATCCGGGGCTGCCGATTGTCGATCAAAGTTCATTAAAAAAACAGAATAACTACTTATTGTCCAGGGCTTTAATATCGCAGAATCGGCAGCCTGTTCTTGTTTCAATCTGGGAGTATCCTGACATGCAGTTAAGATACAGTATTTTATGAGGTATAAGAAAGAGCCTTGGCTGAGATGGGCTACTCCAATTGATGGAGTATGCGGATGAACAAAATTCAGTGCTCCTTTAGCCTCTCTCACTGGCGCGGTAAACGTGTTCGTGTGCGACACGTAGCAAAAGAGTATTGACTGTCCAGATGAACTTGTGATACATTCGCAGGTTCAGCACCAATTTTTCAAAGGTATAGCAACCAAAGGCGCTCCAAATTGTGACTAACCGTTCCATCGTGAAATTGGTTTATATATTTCAACAGTGACAAATCCACAGCACTGACGAAGGCTTTTCCAAATGTTGGCTGATTTCAGTATTTATGTGAAGTTCATTGCAACTGTAAGCCAAATGTTCCCTTACTCGAAGCTGTCTTTCCACCCTCGGACAAAATTGGACACCATCATTTGTTTCGATTACATCCTCTTTCTTGCACATTCAATTCGCACATTGTAGACTCGATACAGTGGCGAATCTATGGCAATTTAAAATCAACTGTGATATAATAATTGAGATGAGTGTTACTGATACGATTGTTTTTGCGTAATTTATTGAATATACATTGATAAAGTCGATCCAAAGAAATAAGAATGCAGCAGGTCACATGCTTGTTGCAGGAAAGAAGTGGCAGTGTGTGCAAGAATAAAAAATTACCGGTCTGTATTTTTATTGCTCCATTGTTGGTCTTAACCGCCTAACTATCAGTGCCCGAGATCGTCACGCCATGGAGTGATGGCCAATCAAGATTGTTCCATTTTTACCGGTTACTCTCTTTTTATTGTTTGATGTTTTATCTGGTTCCGTTCACGTGAATAGTTTTTGTGAGAGTCAGAAAATTACGATGCAAACTAATGAAAATTTGGAATTATTTGAGGACAAATAAAGTAAATTCTTGACTTGTGTCGCTCAAATCGGAAATTCCGTCATGTAATTTGCAGGTAAACGGAAAAAAAATTCAAAACTAAGTTGGAAAAATCTCTCGTGAAAACAATTCGAACTCCCCATAGTTTATGCAGAGGATACCATTTATTATTGACAGAAAACACAGTGAAACCGAGTTTTAATACTGGAGGATGTGTCCACGTGTCCGTGGACGTGAGTGATTAAATCGGAAGAGATCACAGCTATCTGTGCGGCCACATAATGCAGTTGATGTTCATGCGTGGGTTTGCGTTCCGTCGAGGTACCTAAACGTTTCGCGTTTTGACTACGAAAGACGATGAATGTGATTACGGATTTTTTACATCTCGCACTCGACGAACTTTGGAATTAAAAACAAAAGAACCAAACAGTGACATTAGAGAGATCGCGACATAACTGTAGGAGGTGAGTACCACACATCATGTGCTCTACTTGCAGTGATTGTTATCTGTCTGTCCCACGGAGATGTTGCCGGGGTACAAACACAGACCAAGAATAATAAAACGTGGAATTTGCATTCGTCCGAACAATGCCCGAGGTTCCAGGTTCGCATAAACAGGGGATCGCACAAATTTGGTACCCGTAGTTGCATAATTTATACCGATTGATCGTTTACTGCATAATAATCTGTTTCACTTTGTGCAAAATTGGCACACTTCCTCGTGTTCTTTGAAATCCATTCATTTAGAAGAATTTTGATAAGCGTGTGATGAGACAGTCTTGAACAGATCCTACAGTGATTTTGGCCTAGAGAAGAATGAATTATTCTAACGTTTTCTTTCAACAAAACCGATCGACCAAGTTAGACATGATGGTGTGCGTGTGTGTATGTGAATAAAACTAAATCGGGCGCTGGTGAATGTATTCACTTCAGTTGAACACAATCTTTGATCATCCATCCCAATAGCCAAGGTTGGTTCATACAAAAAGTGAAATTAGCTGGGTACCAAAATCAAAGATATTCAATAAAAATTTATTTGCAAGCTTTTTGAGCATCGATTTCCGACTGTACGGGCAAGAAAGTTGTCCCAGTGCTTTTGGAACTCTCCAGTTTCATTATTTTCATCAACCACCAAACCTTGGGTGTATATATTTTGAAGGTTGAGTCCTGAGGTTGCGAAGAACAAAAACCCATTTTCCCTTTAAGATACTGTTGATTAATTGATTTTGTAATGGAGTCATATTTTGCTGTTATTCGACGAAAAATTGGGTCATCCGCATGTTCTCTCATTTTCCTCTTTAAGAACACATCGTTGGTGGTACTGGCCTGTTTACACTTGGAAATAATCGAAAGAAGCTAAATTCAAGGCATGTAATGTCCCAAGCGACAGAGTAGAAAATAAAACTCAGTTGAGCCAAAAATGTCTGACAGCAATCGGATCTCGGCGCACTTTGAAGCCAGATGTCATACACTGGTGTGATTTCACAAAGCGTGCTCTGAGATGCGTTCGATCCGTGGTGAGAAAGGAACCGTCTCTTACAAATGACTGATATGGGTGGGAGAAATATAACTACGGTACTTATATGTCTGATCGATGTGACATACGTGACAAGCAAAACTACAAAACTGATGGATTGAACCACGTGAAACGGATCACTCCTGTTTGAAAGTGCATCAATCAACTAAAAAGAAGTCGCGTCGGGTTCACCTTGTGAACAGCCAAATGAAAGACTGAAATACTCCGAATGCTTGGTTAGTGGCTACAATAATTTGGCAAATTATATGACTTGTCAATTGAAAAACAATTAATGCTCACCTAAAGAACAACGGAAATGGCAACACAAATCCTGATTAGCACAGTACAACTAATTGAAGGACTGTAGATATCAACAGAATCGGGGCTTGTATAAAAGGGTGACCAACTTTACGGTTGATGGATTCTTATCTCAGAAACAAGAGAGCATATTACCATATGAATATCACTCGTATGTATAGTATCATTCCAATTTTTATATAAAATTGATCCAAACTTGTATGGCAAATCGAAAGAAAACAAAAAGCTAACTAGTGCTATTATTTACGAAAATCAAGCAACGACAAGAATGTGCTCTGTTAGTCTGCGTAAACTTGACTTGCTATCCTCTTTGAAGTCACCGCGAGAAATGTAAGCTGTATTCCCCGAACAAGCCTTATCTCAATCGTCACACTGTGTGCTTTAGAATCAATCCATCCCGACGCTTCTAATAGCAAAGTGAGCAAGGGTGTTGATTAGCCCCAGGCTAGTGATCTTTTCACAAGTGGATTTTGGGGGAAATTGTTTAAATCTGCTAAACAAATAAACTTGAAGAACTGCATAGCTCACTTCAGCTTCTATCCAAAGTGTGGTAATGGACAATTTGTTATACAATATGAACGTATTCCGCGCACTAATGAAGAGCATTCTAAACATCATTCATTCACACAAGAGGTAGTCGACTGTATAGACCAACTGAACTTGAAACGACTGCTCAATTTCACAGCTAGTCTTATCAACTTTTTTGTTTTCTTTTGTTGAACAGACAAATAAAAAGGACATTATTTAGTGCATTTGAAATCAAGAAGTTGTCAATGGTAATACTAACAATAACCAAATTGAATATTTTATTGTGCGATGGAGTCCTAAACCAGGTCGATTCATCAATTATTCGCCAAGCGACAGCTTATGTTTGGGTGTGTGCTGAGTGTCTCATCGGGCCGTAAAGTCCTAGATTTTGGTAAGACACATGGAATGACAACGCTTCCGCAAGTAGCATACTACACACACGCACACTTCCGCCATACGTTGCGTGCGCCACTCACTCCCCCCCCCCCCCCCCGCTATCCTCCAGTCTAGTGTAATATGCGGAAGCACTGGTAAATCTTTTTCAAGCACAGTTGTGCAATATTCAGTTTACATTCTAACATGTGAGCATCACCAACCGCGGATAGCTCCCACTTCATTGATTGAAGTGTTGCTATTGTATTTGGACATCATACTATTTCACTTTGGAGTGAAACTTCGTTGAGGTTGTTTTGGAGAATATCTGAAACCTACCGTACCACACACATGAATCCGGTTTCATCTGATCAGTTGCCCTAGTGATACCAAATGGGTTCAGCTGCCTTAGCAACTAGCATTCATCATGAAACACGGAAGGGCTATTTCACACGAGTCAGATGGAAATGAAGAGATTGATGGGCATCGGAAAAACGAAATTCGTGAAATTAGAGTTTTGCGAGAACACCTTTTGAATCAGTGATTCTGCTTGAGTTGTTACTCAAACAGCGTGCATCAAGAAACCACATGCGTTTTGTGTTGTAATGACTGTCACAAACACACTTGCATACATATGAGTATACGGTCAATAAAACTTTGTCGTATTATTAACAAAAGTGATGCTCATCAGTTTGGTTGAAAATGTTTTGAGTTTTGTAAACTAGCCACAGAACCGGCCCATTTAGATTTCATTCTCAGAAGTAGTTTTGCATCAACCAATTTACTTCAAGCTAAACAATGACAAAAAAAGATCATTTCTTCCATTCATGAAAAGTACCGCAACCCCCTGCATGGTGACGCATCTGATGAGATCGATAACAGTAAAATGGCTTTCCAACGTTAACGGGTCACTCCCACCAAACGTGGATATGAGTTTTACCG